TAACACTAAACAATGAATGCCTGTGCAAAGTTTAGTGCCAGTTTGTCATATGTATTTGAGACAGCTCACAGCATAGGTGAAAACTTGGACCAGTCATCAGTGCTAGAGGACACAACTCTGGATCACCCTCTGGGGACCATGAATGTCTCTTCATGGCTTTTCATTCAGTAGTCTGATGCACAGGATGTAGACTTTGAGCATAAGACTGTCATTTCTGTCTGTTCCTCTTCCACTGTCTGTGTGTTTCCACTCCTGTGTGTAGGTTGTTGGCTGGATAACCTCCAGCCAACAACCTACACACTGAAAGTGGCAAGTTTTAACGACGGTGCTCTCCTCCCTACCTGCCGTTGTTCCACCAACCAGGTGCAGCCAGACCTCTCTCCATCACTGACACAGGGCCGCGGAGATAAGTCTGGCTATGGGAGACTATTTATCCTGCAGTTGTTGATCTTGTTCAGTCAAGCGGGGGACCAACTAACGTTACTACGCTTATGTCATCAGCATTACTACAAAAGACGCTCTTGTCTGGTAGTCATGTTCTAATTTAGTAAGTTTGATTGACTTGTTGTACAGATTCACAATAGAACCACGGGTATGCTGCCCTAGCTCCTTTAGTTCCAGCAAAGGGAAATGTTCATGCTCCACGGTATAGTTATATTTCTTAGACAACAGATTTCTTCGAACTAGAGCATCAAATTGGTCCTTTTGTGTTTTCTACATCACAACGCCCACGTGCACAAAGCCAGTTCCATAAAAAACGGTTTTGCCAGTTTTGTGTGGAAGGACTTGACTGATATCTGTGTTGAGCCCTGACCTAAACCCCATTCTAAAACCTTTAAGTTGAACTGCAACAGAGCCTGCAAGCTGGGCCTCATCACCTCACTAATTCTCTTGTGGCTGAAATAACTCCTCATTATCTACCTGGTCACATTCATTCTCAGAGTTCACCTGCATTCAGGTTTTTGGCTTTGAAAAGCCTCCATTGTTCTCTGTCTCTCTAACAATCCTCTTCACCTTCAAGATGCTCTCTCAGCAATAGGGGAAATATTCAGTAATTAGGCGTTCTCCCATTTTTGACAAACCATTTATTGAATAGAGGATATGGAGCAACGGTTGTCCTTGATGCTACAATAAGTACATTGGCCCTTTGCAGCACCAACACTCTTCTTCTCCTCTTAAAATAAATGAACATTTTGCTTGGTAGCAGGCTGGAGCATTTTGTGTGTGTGTGTGTGTGTGTGTGTAAATCAATTTTTCTTTTTTCTTTTTTTTCATTATTTTTCTTTCTTCTTCTGCCCATTTTTCTCTTGTCTTCTTTTTACTTTTGATATTTTACTTACATTTGCCAGTCTTTTGCTTTTTCTACTTTTCCAATTTTCTGGTATTTTAGTGCCTTTGGTGCTCTCTACCCCTTACTCTTTGTTTTTTTTACCATCTATCTTTCCTCTTGATGTGCCCTATCATTTTACCCATGTTTTTCCTCCATTGTGACCCTACAGTATTTTATTCTTCCTTTCTTTCAGTTCTTTCAACGCTGCTTTTTTTCTTTTCTTTTCTTTTTTTTTTTTTGCTTGTACCTTTTTTCTTTCCTTCCTCTTTTTTCCAGATCTTCTTTCCTGCTTTCTGTCTTTCTTCACCGTCACTTTAATTTAAAATTTTCGCCACTTATTTTTCACAGTTTGTCAGTTAAAATGTGTTTGTCCCGCTAATGGGCTGGAAAAACAGCACTTTGTTTGTATTTAAAAATAATTGCCAGAGCTGTAACAGGTCTCTAAGGCTTCTCATATTGAAAACTCAAACTGATGAGAGTTATCCATTTCAAGAATATCGGAAAGACCAAAAAGGATTTAAAAAAAAAAAGAAAGAAAGAAAAGGAACAGAGAGAGAGACGAATGCAAAGTTGAGAATATGATGGACAATTCAAAAAATAGAATAAGCAGAAAAGGTGGGAGAGAAGAAGGGAATATTGGCAAGAGATATGGAGACGTAAAGACACTGTAAATGATAAATGTATAGTGTAGAGATGAACAAATGAGGACTAGAGGAAAGGTAGAAGGAAGTAAACATAGAGCTCAAATAAAATACTGATGGCAAAAATACAGAATGACCGTAAATAATTGGCTAAAACAACCATAAATAGCTAAAATAGGAGAAACCAAAATCCTAAAAATGTAGAGACTGTTAACCCTCCCAGAAAGGAGGAGCCAGTTTTCTGTAGGTTCCACTATTTAAGCCAAAACCTGTTGGTAGTAATCCTCAATAAAACCACACCGTTGAAAACCCAACAACAAATAGAAAATAAAAAGATCTGCAGGTTGTTCAAATGAAATTTTAAATTACAATAAAAACAAAACCTAAAGGGCAGCCGTCAACCCATCAAAATATAAGACCATAAACGTTAAAATTAAGATGAAAGCAGCGTTAGCAGTTTTTTTTCTCTTCAGTGACCCTGCACTCATGTAACACGATTCGTTATGTATGATTTAGTCTACCAATAATAGAATACAAAAACAAAGGATTTTGAGTGTACACAACCCTTCTGTCCTTTCTCTGTAGTGATGCTCAGGGCTAAGGGGATACCCACACCAGATGGCTCGGTGAGCCATTTCAACACACACAAGGAGCAGCACAGCACCAAGACATCAGTTTGGAATACAGTCACAGATTTAATGTATAATGTAAAACAAACGACTGAAACTGAGCACCTGTTGCTTCAGCCAGGGAAAGCATAGATGGCATGCAACAGAAACTGGCAAACAAAAGATAACTGCACAGCAGCCGAGAGGAAGCTCAAGGCGTCTTACCACAGGGATTTATTTTCTCTTATTTTCTTGGATTTATTTCCAAGGAACTAATGGGCTAATTCACCAGTGAGCATGGCAGCGGCTAACTGAAGCTGCCGGTTACGTCAATAAACAACTTTCCTCACTTAACTTTCTCGTAGTTTCTATGGCCAAAATTAGCATAATGGAAAGAAAAGCTTTTAGCCTACTTTTACCACGGACTGTAAAAAGACTGTGTGTTCCTCACTCGCTGCATGTTTGATGTCTGATAAAGTTCCTGATGACCAAAATCTGACTAAGAATGATGACCTGTTAAAAGCTGCAGATAAATAAATGGAGGCAGATGTGAGGCATCTTCACTTGCTCTGACTGCTGGCTGCTTTTAAACCGAAAAGGGGTTTTTAAAAAAAGCCCACAGGTGCCATTGTAGAAGTACCTGCTGATTCACTAATACAGATATCTTCAGCTATCTAAAGAGCATCAAGGCTGTGTGGCTCTCCAGTGGACAGAGGTCAGCCTGCTAGGATAACCCTGCTTTTGATGGCTAAAGGACCTCTGAGAGAAAAGTACTACCAGCCTTGAGTCATATGCTGATGCACTGAGGTCAGTATTTGTGTTTGATGGAGGAAGAAGAGGTAGAGATGTAAGCTGGGCAAAGAGAAATGACATGGTAGTGCCTTGTACTCGTGGCCTTGAGGGACGAATCATCAGGCATTTCAAATGTGCCTTTTCAGTTTCTTGTTACTGACAACAAGCTGCATTAAACCCGCCTGATAATTCTTCAACACTGCTTCTCCTCGACACATCCATTTCAATAACTGCTGCTTGTAAATAAATGCTGCTATCAAAAGTACAAAAAAGAAAAGAAGAAAAAAACAAAGAGAAAAAAGCAGAAGGTGACTCAAGGAAGGGAAGCAAATATAAGAATGTTACGGGCAATTTAAAGCACAAGCAGGAAAGATGAGCAAAAAGAAGGTTTAACGGACAAAAGGTGTGGAAGAATAAAGACAGAATGGAAATAACAAAGACAGATGGGTGTGTAGAAATGAACAAAGGAGGACTAGAAGGAACATGGGAATAAGGAAAGAGAGGGTAAAAGAGGGTAAAAAGTATTGGAATTAAATGAAGAAAAGAAAAACATGAACAGAGGACAGAGAGAAATTAGGGGTTAAAGAGAAGACATACGAAAGGAAGTAAAATGGAGAGGATTGAGAGAAACAGGGAAGATAGAAGACAAAAGAGTCCAATGACAGGAAAATAAAAATCCTTTGAACAGATTGAAATATCTATTCATTTAAATGGATAATGATCTACCTAAAACAGGCTGTCCAAAACAGATACTTTACCACACGAGTCTTTTATGCTGTCTGCCCCTTATATATATTTTTTTCACTTTCTGTTTTTCCTTTTATTATTTCCCCCTTCTTTCCCATGTTTGCTCCCCTTTATGAAGAGTCAGCCTGATTCTTTCTTCTTCCCCCCCCCCTTCCCCAGTGTTGTCTGCTGAAGTTGCTATTGGATCAGAAAACATCTAAAAACTTACTTCACCTTTTTATTTTCAAAGCCACACATATGTGAGCTCAACTTCTTGCTAATACTAATAACAGCCGTCATCCTTTTCAATAACAGCTGCTTGTAATTAAATGCTGCATTCAGAAAGAAAGGAAGAGATGGTACAAGAAAGCAGATGATTTATGACAGAATAAGGAGTAAGAAGGAAAGGTGGACTAAAAACAAAAGAAGGATTTCATGGGTAAATCATGTGGCAACTGTCAGATAAATTCAACACCAACAGAAAAGACATTACAGACAGACATTAAACAACAATTCCACAACATCACCAACAATCAAGACAACAAAATGCAAGTAACACAACCCCCACATCACCCAGATGTCGTGCCAGGGCTATACTGGAGGGTATGAAGGATTTCTGAGTGTAGAAAGTCTACAGCAATGAATCAGTACTAGAGAAGGGTCTGGCTACAGCTTATTTTCATTCCTCAATCAGGAGGGTAAAAGCTCTGGCTTATCGTGTTTCCTTAAATGAGTAACTGTTGTCAATCTGCATTTGAATGCTATTGCAGTTTGTCATCAAATACTTCCTCTAGATATTTAAGTTCCGGTAAATATCTAGAGACGGCTGTGGCGGGGCGGCTGTGGCTCCGGTTGTCAACTAATCGCAAGGTTGGTGGTTTGATCCCCTCCACAGTCCTTGGGCAAGACACTGAACCCAAAAGTTGCTCCCAATGGCAGGCAGGCACCTTGCATGGCACACCATTGGTGTATGAATGTGATCTGCTCTCAAAAATGTATGTTGCTTTGGATAAAAGCATCTGTTAAGTGAAACTGTTAATTGTAGGTATTAGTTGAATGCAGTCACCATCAATAGTTGCTTATTTATGTGTCTTCGTGTTCCCTGTTCAATAATTTTCTTGATGATTTAAAGTCTCTCTGGTCGTTAATTAAAGCCCCAAAACTCATCACTGTTTATCAAAGTTACAAGGGAGTTGGTAGAAACACTATGGTTTGGGTTAAAATGGCCACTCTGTTATGGTTCTTATCATAGTCGTGGCAATTATAAGCCCTTGATTAAGGTTATGCATTGATTGTAGTTACAGTTTAAAGAATTCCACATTACCTGTCATTAGAAAATGGGAAACAAATGATGACCTCCAGTGTCTACAATATTTTTTTTTGTCCCATCCATCCACTCCAACTTCCTCGCCATGTGTAAGGTTCATAAATGAAAACTGATTTATACTGAGTAAACATTGAAGAGTAAAATAAAATATTACAGGAGAATATGTTCATTCATATGTTCAAGTTCATTTGTTAAAATAGATATTCATAGTGCTTACCTGAGTAACAGTTTACATTTATGTTTGCAGAATTATTCTTTACACATTTTAACATTTTCATTTGTGTCATACAAGCAGCTAAGTTAATCTGTGACTCTGCCGTTATATAGCACACTAGCATTTGCCTAGTTTGGTTCTGCTTCCTCCTGATTGGTTAGTTCGGTCAGGTGACAGTGTGTGTCAGGAAGTTGTTGTGGATGCTGGCATGTGAAGAATAAAGAGTAAGAAATCCGTCTCCATCCTGCTGTCTCATTATAAATCAGAGTGATCCATTGACCATCAACAAACCCTCACGTTACACCATGCATACTCTGCCACTCTGATAACATCACCTCAGTTAGTCTCCTGTTACTCAGGAAATTCCTCCATCCTCTCCAGAACCCTGTGGCTTAAACAGTTGCTGGTCTGGTGTGGGTTAAACATCACATCAGGCTGCTATCAGAAATGTTTTTTGTGAGAGCTATATTTTGAATCCGTAGGCATTTGTCTGTGTACTAAAAGCAGGTACGAAAACCTCCTCTCCTTTGTTGTCCTTTCTTCTGATACATTTTGGTTGCATCCCTCCATCTTTCTCAGGCTTTCTCGTGGTGGCCGGAGCTGATGGCCGAACACGCTGAGACGTTTCTGTCTCTGTACAGGGTTGACATGGATGCCGCTCTGCAGGTCCAGCCTGTCGACTCCTGGGACAGCTTCCCACTGTTTCAGCTGCTCAACAACTTCCTGAGAACTGATCGTAAGTCTGATGCAAACCAAATACTCTCAATCCAGACAAATAGTGTGAGCAGCTGTGCAGATTAGCCCACTGGTCTGTAGATGCAAAAGGTTACACTTCATGGCTGAAATGCTGGATTGCTTAAATAACACCGGAAATGATGTGAATGCCTACGATGCTGGTTGTCACAGATACGGGTGTTTTCGGGGCTTTTCACCAGTCTGTTGTTCAGTTGAACTCACCTGGACAACCACATACACTTATCTTACAGTGTTCAGTATTGCACACAGCATTTTTTCCTTTTGAATTCTTCAGCCTTTCAGGGGATTTTCAGGGGAGCTTAGCTTAGATGGTTCTACATTCACACCTGGAAACAGTCCAGTTCTACCAGAGCCAGTTGTCCTGGCTGCTGAGCAGTTCCACTGTAGCAGTTTAAGGTCAACGGTCTTGCTCAACAGCTCCTCAGTGGTTGTAATTAGGAAGAGGCAAACACTTTTCTCCACTTTTCCTGCTCAGATTTATCATCACAGACTCAGACCTTCTGGTCACAAGGCCATTTGTCTTATCTCCAGGCCATCACTGCCCCACCTTACACAGAAATGTAAGTTTTTAATTGCATAGTTTTTGCAGTAATTTCAACTGGTAAGACACATTTAGTTTCACTAATGCGTACATCATGACAAAGTTTAAATGATGAAAATGGTGGATCAGCTCTAATGCTCAAAAGCTTATCATCTGCATCTAGGCCACAAGTATACACACACACACACACACACACACACACACACACACACAAACACACACACACACATAACACAGTGTGCTTAAACCAGGAACATACAATCAAAATCACTGAGCATGCCCATTAAACATAGAGAAAAATGAAATGACTTGTTGAATTTAAGAACTGAGGTTTCCTTTGGCTGAAACCTGAAAGAGAAGCAGACCTGCACCACATTCTGGAAGAATTCTGGATCACTTGTCTTTTTTTCTCAAATTTGGTTTAGTCATATTTTTGAGATGTCTGGAATTACATGTTTCTCGAGAAGTCATTGATCAGAATCTGGGGTAGGCTCTGGACCCTGAATGGGCCACTGCAAAAGCCAAATTTCCTGTTTTTTTTAAAGGCATTCTGTTGGAGATTCACTTGTATGTTTTGGGTCATTGTATTCTTCCTACTCCTACTGAGCATCAACTGAACAGCCACATTTAACAGTGTCCAATAAGATACCGAGATAAACTTGGTAATAACTTTTTTTCTCCATCATGGTAAGGTGTCCAGACCCAGAGGCAGCAAAACAGAATTCATGGGGCTGCCTGTTTTTGTGTCCCTTTTGTCACTGGCTCCAGTGATTCCTTCAAGCCTTTAGCTGTTGTTTTGGGATTCCTATTTCGTTTTTTTTTTTTTTTTTATTAACCTCACTCAGCATTCTGCGTTGTGTTTCTGAAGTCATCTTCCCTGGGTATCACTTCTACGGAGAGAGGCCATTTAATTGTCTCCACTTATAGACAGTCTATCTGTGAACTGATGAATGTCTAAACATTTTGAGGTGACTTTATAACCTTTTCTAGCTTTATCAAAATCAACAATCCTTGATCCTCTGGTGTAGCTTTTTTTTTTTTTTTTTTTTTTTGGCAAGGCTTCACTGCATGTGAATGGGAAGCTCAAAATGTTTAAATGTGTTTTAAAAGACAAAGCAGCTCTAGCCCACACCCTCACTCTTTTCATTTCACTGATTGGGCTCAAGGTTTGCTAACTTGTGACACCAATTAGTTTCTGTTGATGTCCTTAATTTTTCTGGTTCTAAAAATGGAGCTTTTTTTGAGGAAATGCTCTGCTCAGAACATTACATGGTCTTGTCGTTGGAGCTGCTAATTAACATTGGTGATGCCAGACAAAACAAGACTTTTTTTTTTTTTTCTAAAGGGGGTTAACGTCACCTTGCGCACACCAGCAGAAAGGTAATTAACATGAGTGGCCGGATGAGGGACATCAGTTGCCTGAGGTTTATTTGCTATTCAGGAGGTAGCTGTATGGGATGTGGTTCCTGTCTTACTGTAACATCCTCAGTTGGCTTTGCTTTTAAGGTTTTTATTTTTTATCTAATTTTTATGAGCCACTATTTAGCGTGTGAAAGAAGAACCTAGACCCTTCAGAAGATGATTTTCTGCTTTTAAAGTGATTATGAAAGGATATAAAACACATTGCTAAAGTATGTTAAACTTTATTTACACTAATGCAATTTGGGTCTGACTTAATAAAATTTCAAAGTATGAATATGCAGTTCTGATGCTGTGGCGCTACAGTTTGATCCATGTTGCTTACAAGCTTTTTCAAATCTGCTGGTTTGTCGCTTTAATTAACTTATTTTTTGAAATTCTGAATAAACATTTACTTTTTAAGTGGTTTGCTTTTATACAATGAAACTTGGATTAAATTGAATTACATTATACAACTCACCACAGATGTAACATTCATGGATAAGCAGAATTTCCAATATTGATGATAAACCAAATGTTTTTGATAACACAATTTAACTAGAGTAAAAAAAATAATACATTTTTTAAAAAAAATATGTTTTTCTTATTTTTTTTATTCTTTGTCTTAAAGTTAGGTTCACCCATTATCCATCCATTATCTATACACCACTTAATCCTCACGAGGGCGGCTGACTTAGGGCAAAGACAGGTCACCAGTCTATCACAGGGCTACACTTAGAGACAGACAACCAAGCACACTCACATTCACACCTACAGACAATTTAGAATCACCAATTAACCTCAACATGTTTTTGGACTGTGTGGGAGGAAGCCGGAGAACCCGGAGAGAACCCACGCTGCACGGGGAGAACATACAAACTCCACTCAGAAAGATCCCGGGTGTCCTCACCGGGACTGTGAGGCAATGGTGCTAACCACCCAAAGTTAGGTTCAAAGAAAGTATATTATTGTATGCATTTTACATTGGTTTATTATTCAGAAAGAAAAAGTAGTTTCCATATGATTAAAAGCATAATCTTTTAGGAATTCACAGGCAACATCAAATCCCTTCATGGTTTTTTGTTACCTTTAAGGTATAATCTGCAAAATGTTTCGCTCTAGTTTTAGCATGTAAACTGTCTCCTCATTGAGATGTTCAGGCACCTAAGCAGTCCACTAGTTGAGGGGAAAAAAGGAGCAATTTATTGGGTGTCTTTTTGAAGAAACAGATTTTTGTTTGGCAAGTTTTACAGAAAAAGCTTGGCGACTACGATGGCCTTCCTTCTATCCTTAATAATAGCTGTGTTATTTTCGAATTTGTGCATTGGTACATCATGATTTTGTGTATTTAATTCGATCATTGAATTTATCTTTATTTACAAAAGCATCTCAAACAAAACAGTTGATCTAAAGTGCTATACAGTGCAAGGAGAAATAGAAAGAAAGAAAGCTGAGGTCAAGGAAACTTTTCGTCAGTCCTGACTATTTGTACAAAATAGAAGCTGCAAATAAAGAACTATCCAGGACGTGAACAGGAGATGTTGTGTGACATTTTTGAATAGTGAACTATTTTCTGTAACACATTCACACAGCAACAAACAGGATTTCAGGAATAAGGAAGGTGTTTTTGGACACCCACTTATTTTCATAATGTCCTTTTTTTATGCGTCAAGGTCTGAACATGATAAAAACAAAACAACAAAACCCTATAAAATGAGTGGAAAACTTCAATTTAAAGTACGACAAACATCAACACTGTGCCGCTGTGTTTGAAATTGTTGTAATATAGTCTTTCCTCATAAATTGCATCTCACTGTTTGGATTTCATTTGACTGCTGGAGAAAAAAAATCTCAGCTCATTGTTTTCCCTCACTAAGCCCTCCGCCGGCTGCAAGGCTTTGTCTTGAAGCCAGCAGAGACTTGGCGAGATGCAAGGCGTTATTTAACATGGCTGATGCCAAAGTACCTCAAATACAGTAACAGACAGGCAGGCAGATAGACAGACAGCCCAAGGGCACTGTTGGGAACAAAAAACTCAGTGTTTCATTATGTGAATAACCCACAAATCTCCTTTTTTTGTGGCTCATATCTTATATTCTTTCTAATTACCATCCTCTGTTCATGCCGTAATTATTCCAAGTGTCACAACATTAGCTGACTTGAATTGGAGTGTAATGAGGCGATAGATGGAGCCGAAACACAGAACGAGAAGAATTGTAGTTTTGACTGTTTGTACAAATGAGGTCTTCCCTCTGATAATTATATCTAAAGTGAGAGGGAAAAAAAAAGATTACTTTGAGTTCAGTCCCAATCGAATGCTGATTTAATTGACAAGCAAGTTTATTTACAGGTCGCCTTCTATAAACCTCAAAATAATAAAATATGAACAATCCTTCGTTTTTTAATTGTTCAGCTGCATTTTTTTTAGACAACAGAACCTCGGCAGTGACCACCAGTCAGCTGATCTCAGGTGATGTGACAGTATTTCACCAACTCTTTGAGTATTTTCTTCAACAAGCGTATTATCTCTCAGTTGTTCTGAAGATTATTTAAATGCTCACTTGATTGTCAGCATGTGAGTGGTTGTGAGGGAGGCGAGTCTTACTCTCCGGAGGGCAAAAAGGCTAGTGTTAATAACGACAGAGCAGAGCGAGAGGAATTAAAACTAATGAAGCCCTGGGAGACCAGCCTGCTCGCCTCTCACCCACCACTCACTGTCTGTGTCCCTCCTGACTGTGGACTGTTACTGTCTGTGAGGGTTTATCTGTCTTTCTCAATCCTACAGGGAGGACGGGAGCCGGAAATATCGGAGGGTGTGTGCAATATCAGGAACACCTGTGTAGGCACATTTAATCCTAGAAGTATGATCGTCTATAGTACAAATTTTATCTTTGCGAGGTAAAATTCCAGGTTCGGTTTAGAAAGAAGTTTTTAGAGGATGCTGGACTGTCAAACCAAAAGTTTCTCTATAGACTGTGCTCACTGTCTCTTTAAAAGAGACTCAAAGTTGGAGACACACTGTAAAATATCACCTCATGCTCTGACGTTAAAGCTTATCACTTGGGGAAATATACATATTTAGTTTCTTGCTGAAAAGAGAACGGATACTGCTTGTTATTACATCGTTTGTGTCGAGCCAGCTTTACTTAGCTTTACATGGGGAAACAGCTAAACTAGGACCATCTCTCTTGTACAGGAGCAGTGTTTATCTGGAGTCTTATCATCATTTTGAGGTTGTCAGCAACCAACAGCAACTTCAAGTAGAACAGCAAGATCAAAATGTGTCATCATTAGACAAAGTTTTTATTTTTTTTGTGGGTTAAATGTCTTTTTTAATGAGCTTTACAGTTGCTAAAACAAGAATTTTTGTTACCACTGGACAGAGCCAAGCTAGCTGTTCCCCAATTTCAGTGTTTGTGCTAAGCTAAGCTAGTTAGCTGCTCATTGTAGCCTTATTAATAGACAGTTCAGATAGCGTATCAACAATCTCATCAAGCTCTGAAACAGAAGGCCACTTTTCTTTAACACTCCCTACACTTAAAATGTCAGAAATGTCAAAGGAGGCAGTAAATTTGCACGAGTCCCAGTCAGTTCTTGGTCCTAATTTGCATTCCCCAGCAACTTCATTTGTCTGCTGGACAACCTGGTAATAGATAGTGTGTGTAAATCATGAATTCTGACTCAGTGGCTAGATGCTGCTAAAACGTTAGAGTACCTTAAAGTGTGAAGCAGCACTTGTACAACATGTGAATGAGTAGCTTACAGGAGCTTTACAGTGTTGAGCAGAGCCATAGGTGAGCTTAAGTTTCAGCTACTGGGTAAGGGTTGGTGCTGAGAAAGGCAAGGACTTCACAGATCAATGCATTCGAGAGGACACAATGTCAAAGACTTATATCTAGGCCGGAAGGGATTATTTTCATGGATTTTTTTTTTTTTTTTTTAAGTACTTTTGATACTGAATTTTTAGGTGTTTAATCAATGAGCAGAAAGGGACTTCGATTAACTTAAAGTCAACCAAATCTGTGGAGAATTAGTGAGTCTGAGAAGTTGTAAAATTTGCTGACCCGGTCTTCTGTTGGGCCCTCCCCCCACAGCTCACCTGTGCAATGGAATGTTCCATAAACACCTGCAGGACCTGTTCGTCCCCCTGGTGGTGCGCTACATTGACCTGATGGAGTCGTCCATTGCCCAGTCCATCCACCGCGGCTTCGAACAGGAGACCTGGCAGTCTGTTAGGTAAGCCTTACTCCCATTCTTATGAGCGATAAGTGTTGGCTGATAGCTCCTGACTGTAAAGAGCCAAAACAACAAAAAACACAAAGCCTTGTCTTTATTTGTGTGAAATCTGTCTTTTACTTATCCATCAAGTTTTTACCAGACGTCTAGCTTACACACAACCATTTGTTCCACAGTTTTAGTTCCTATCTGTTAACGTGAGGTTATATATACTGAACAAAATGTCATACTTTAATAGGCAATGTACACTTATTAGAACATCCCCCAATGCATCCTGTCACTGTTCACTGTTCTTTTGAAGAAACATTACAAGATCGTGAACACTGTATGATTAATCATGAAGGTCACAAAGTGTGACTGCCATCCGTTGATTCCATATATACGCTATGTGGAGAAGCCACATTGGTACACAGATTGTACAAATAGGATTTGATTCTTAAAGATATTTGAGCAACAAATTTTGTGATAGTGGTGAATTATGAGTTGTTATAATAAATGATCTTTACCTGAAACACTTCTTATTTGGCCCTGCATGTCACCTCCATTACTTTCAGTTTTTCTATAACAATGATCTCTTACTGACATTTCACGTTAGTTCACTATCAGCAGTAACGATTTGTCAAGGTGCGGTACTGGTTGCAGCATCGGTGTACCCAAAACAATAAAAGACAAGGGAAACGCACAAACGCAACGCTGCACAGGACAGCAGAGGAACAAAAGGAGGCAGAGTTGAATGTACAACACAAACAGCAAGGACACAGTGCAATCTTTGACAAAAAGCACCTGAAATGAAAAAAAGCCATGAATAGAAGTGAGCAGTAACTTTTCCGTCTTTTATTGTTGTTTGCTATTCATCAATTACTGCAGGCAGAACAAGTGGCTGCTATTATGTTACTATTTTCTGTGTGTGTGCTGTAAAAAAAAAAAAAAAAAAACGCCCACTGCTACTGTCGCTATCTCTTCTCTTTTTCCTTGTCTTGTATTCTTTAAATGTTTTCCGCCATCGTTCAACCTTGCCGTTGATTCCGGCAGGTCATTAACTAACAATCTCGCTAGCGTTCCTCTTCCCAAAGTCCCCAGCCTTCCCGTCACATTGCCACAGATGCCCAGCTTCTCGGCACCCGCCTGGATGGGACCACTGTGTGAGAACACGTATGTATAGTGGGGGGTGGATGCCCCTGAGGCTCTGGACTAGAGGTCTTCACAGGGTGAGAATTTGTCACTAGAGAAGAACCAAAACAATCTGACTGTAATGCAAGGTGGGGTCCATGAGTAGAAAAAATACCCAGATCAACGAAAGGTAGCATGTTGTGAGTTTGCTCCGTGCTGATGACCTGCATCCAGTCTCTTGGTCTTGGTCTGACACCTTGTGCAGCTGAGAACCAGATGGGAACACTTCTAAAATTTGTGTGGTCTTTTCCAAAATCCATCCATTATCCATCCATTATCTATACA